CCGAGATGAAATCTTAGAGTGTTTTGTTGTTTTTTTTTTTAAAGAGAGAGTGAGAGAGGAGAGAGAGAGAGAGAGAGAATTTTTTTAATATTTATTTTTTAGTTCTCGGCGGACACAACATCTTTGTTGGTATGTGGTGCTGAGGATCAAACCCGGGCCGCACACCCAGGTGAGCGCGCTACCGCTTGAGCCACATCCCCAGTCCACCTTAGAGTGGTTTTGATTTGCATTTCTCTAATTGCTAGTGATGATGAACATTTTTTCGTGTATTTGTTGATTGATTGTACATCATCCTCTGAGAAATTCTATTCCATTTTTATTTTTTTAAATAAAAAGTGAATTAGTGACAATCCACTTTATTTAGTTACTTATATTGAACTCAGAGGCACATCCCCAGCCCTTTTTTCTATTTTATTTAGAAACAAGGTCTTATTGAACCTGGGGATTGAACCCATTGCCTTATGCATAGGAGGCAAGCACTCTACTAATTGAGCTATATCCCTGGCCCCACTTTATTGTTCTTAAGATTCACTAATGGATTCCAACATGTTTTTGTAGAACAACTTGATGATTTAGTCACTCAATCACTGTTTAATTAGACATATAGATTGCTGCTAATTTGCCATTATGAACAGTGCTGTTTGGAACATTCTTGTAACATTTCTTTGCTCACATTCATGATTTATTTCCCTTAATAGAAATTTATAGAGGTGGAACTACAATGTCATAGGATATGCAAAACTGTGGGGGGTTGGTATTTATGGATATATTGGTTGTCAAGTAAACTGTATATAGTTTGAAATTCTATACTATTTTCAGTTAATAAGTGCAGCAGTTATCTCTTGCTGTATAACAAATCATCCTAAAATATATCAGCTTTAAACAATAAGCATTTGTTATATCACTGTTTGGGTAGGTGAAGATTCTGGGATTAGCTCCCTCAGCTGGGTCCTCTGGCTCAGGAATTCTCATAAGGCTGCAGTCGAGGTGTCAGCCGGGCCTGTAATCATTTTAAGATGCAACTGTAGGAGGACCTACTTCTAAGCTCACTTACATGGGTGTTGGCAGGTCTTGAGTTCCAGATGCTATTGGCTAAAGACATGGATTCCTTGTCATGTGGACTTCTCTAGAATGCTACTTAGGATGAGGCATGTCAATTACATTAGACCAGAGAAGGAGAAAGGGAGGGAGAGAAAGAAGGAATTACAGTCTTTTGTAATCTAGGGAGGTGACATCCCATAACTTTGGCTATATTCTAGTCATTAGAAGCAAGTGACCAGATCCAGACACACTCACTGAAAGAGAAAAGATTACACAAGAGTGTGAATACCTGGAGGTATAGATCACTGGTAGCTAGTTAGAGGGTACCTACAATAGAAAATCGTGGGCACTTTCAACATTAGAATTCTTCAAAAATATCCATCTAAGGGCTGCTGCATTATCTGAGAGGGTCTATCCTATCCCCCTTTAAATAAAACTGATAGTGGCCTAATCTTCAAAAGTATTGCATTACTTCCCCCTCAAAATTCCTCAACAAAAATCATTGTTTCTGGGGTTATGGCTCAGGGGTAGAGTGCTCACCTAGCATATGCGAAGTCCTGGGTTCGATCCTCAACATCACATAAAAATAAACAAATAAAATAAAGCTATTGTGTCCATGTACAACTAAAAAATAAATATTTTTAAAAATCATTGTTTCTGCAATATAATTAGTGGACTTTTATTTAGATAGTTAACAGTAAAAATAATTTTGTAATTGTTATCCTTCTGTTTCCCTTATTATTGGCATTAAACCACCCAGATATTCAAAAAGTTAAAACAGAAACAGCTATTTACTTGCTCACAATTCTGCAACTTAGGCAAGGCTTGGCAGGACCAGCTAGTCTCTGCTGAGGGGACTTACTGGGGCAGAAGATGCAAGACAGCTTCACCCAGCTCCTTGGCTGGGGGTAGGAGGTCACTGGGAACCAGTCAGGCTTCTCTCATTTCCTTCAGTCCTTCATCCTCATGGCCCTTTCCTCTTCAGATGACTCTCTTTTCTGCAAAGTACTCAAATTTCTGAATGTCACTACTGACTCTATGAGGAAAGTTAGAAACCATAGCCTAGAAGTCTAGAAGTCACATGGCACCATTTCTGCTATGTCTTATTGGCCAAAGCAAGCAGTGTGAGTCAAAAAGAAGGGAAATAGACTCCACCTCTTAGGAGGAGAGTAAGAGGCAGGTGAAAGAATTAAACACAGTATTGTAGCCTGGCATAGTGGTACATGTCTGTAATCCCAGTGGCTCGGGAAACTGAGGCAGCAGGATAGCAAACTCAAGGCCAGCCTCAGCAATTTAGCAAGGCCCTAAGCAATTTAGTGAGAGCCTTCTTAAAATGAAGGCTGGGGATGTAGATGAGTGGTAAAACCCTTCTGGGTTAGATCCCCAGTATCTGCCCCCCCCCAAATAAAATAAACATCAAAATCTAAATATGAAGCCCACTGCTCAATCACATGTAATCTTATTTACCGCTCTTCACTATGGGACCTCAATAATTATGGAACTTCTGTGTATGGTAAGAATAGTAAGTGTTGCCAGAGCATGAATCATACATGTCAAGTGCCTGGAAAGAACACAGTAGGTGTCCATTTTCTGCTACTTCACAGAATACCTGAGACTAAGTAATTTATAAAGGAGTTTATTTAGTTCAAAGGTTAAAAATCCAAGATCTGGAGCTCAGATCCAGTGAGGGGCTTATGCAATATCATAACAATGGAGGAAAAGTAGAAAGGCAGGTGGGCATGTGCAGTTTTTTTTTTTTTTTATGTTGTTGTTACTGGGGATTCAACTCAGAGACACTGAGCCACATCCACAGCCCTATTTTATATTTTATTTAGAGATGGGGTGTCACTGAGTTGCTTAGTGCCTCACCATTGCTGAGGCTGGCTTTGAACTCATGATCCTCCTGTTTCAGCCTCCAGAGCCACTGGGATTATAGGTGTGTGCCACCACACCCAGCACAGCCTCACACTTTTGACAACCTGCTCTCATGGTAATTAATCCAGTCCATCAAGAATTGACACAGTCCCTAAGAAAGGCATTAATCCCTCTTAATGACCTAATCATCTCTTAAAGTCTCCATCTCCCAACACTGCCACCATGGCAGATTTCAACATGAATTTCAGAGGGGACAAACCATAACAGCAGGCATCACAAATGGTGGCTGCTTACCACTTGAAAATGTTTTGTTTCAGGCTAATTGAATCTGAGGTGAGGGTAAATTTTTCAGATAAAGGTAGAATTGCAAGTATCATAAGCCCAATGTTAAAGTGTGGGAGTAAGGTGGGCTTACCTGGGCTCCTATCTTTTCTCTGCCACTTAACTGCTGGATAATCTGACAAATTAGTTCACTTATCTGAGCCTATTTACTCATCCATAAGAATGGGAATAAAAAGAGTAATGACTTCCTTGGTTTGATTTGATCTTAATGGGTAATGTGTGGGAAGCACTTAGGAATAGGGTTAGAGCATTCCCAGTGCTTGATAAATGCAGGTTTTTGTAATGGTGTGTATAATGGGTATAATGACAAACTTCTGGTAATGTAATATCACTATATATTAATACTCTCCTTGACGTATAAACTTCTGGAATCAGATCTTGACAAAAACTTTTCTTCCCAGTAGCTGCACCACAATCATTTGCTTCTTTCCTAACTTACCATCATGGCCACCACTATGCCAGGGGATATGGAACACCCCTGAAAATCCAAAGAGAAGAAATACCCCAGCTCCCAACCCCAATGCCCATAATGTGGGCAGTTGGTAAATGTTGTTGTTCATGAAGGAAAATGATCCTTGGCTACAAGTCCTACTAGGTAAAGCTGCTCTGTATAAGAAATGGGGAAGAATGTTCCCATTGGGTCAGGGGTTCCTAAAGGTATCATGAATAGATGTGATCTCTTTTTTGGGGGGAAAGCATTAATATGACTAATCCTGTTGTGTAGAGAATGGTCTTTTAAGAGTTTTTCACTTAGGAAAGGCAATGAACTTGGCTTCCAGGAGGACACGGTTTTGTGAAGGACATTAAATCACCTACACTTGTAAACTGGGTCCTTTGAGCTTCCATGGACACTTCACTGGAAAAGAGTGGTCAGCTGCTGACCTGGAACAACCCCTTTGTGGGAGGGTAGAGGAATCTGAGCTTCAGATAAGGGAGCAGCCATGGATGAGGGATGAGAGACCATAAAGAAAAATACAAGTTGAGGAAAGGTCTCAAACGAAAGGGAACCACTGTGGTCAAACGGAGAAGTCTGGACGAGGGGAATCGCCTTGGTTTTTCATTCTGGCAGAAAGGATAACTGCCAGGAACTGGCAAGGGTGATGACACTGGAGCAGAAACCCCAGATCCCCGTTATCACAGGTGCAGCCACCCAGCTTCTGGGTTCTCTTCCCGTCAGGAGATGGAAATGATGACCTAGGGGGTTGGCTAAGCAAGATTCGTTTGCATCATCCTTTTCCCCACTTCTTCTCCAGTCCCTACCCAATTGCTTCACAGTCTGGGGCTGGTGATGCTGGCTCTGACCTGAAAGGGAGACAAGAGGCAGCAGTCCCAGAGCGCCCGACTTTTGCGACTTGGCCGCAGCGTCCCGAACCTGCGTTGGCCTTCGGAGTTCGGGAGGCAGTTCTGGGGCGCTGGGCCCCTCCGGAGGCTGGACCCTGTGGGGGTCGCCTAGAGCTACCTCGTGGGGACGCGGCTCCCCTCTCCAAGAGCTCTGAAAACCTGGCAGCTCCGGGGGAGGCTGAGGTCCCAGGGCCGCGGGGCTGGCGCCGCCGGCGGGGCCGGAAGTTCGGCTGGGACGGGCGGGTGGGGGTGCACCGGCGTGGGCGGGGCCGGCGACGCACGAGTTAATGTCCGCTCCGCCCCGGCCGCGCTGACTCAGTTTCGCCAGAAACTAGGGGGTGGCGGTGGCAGATCCCGAGAGCACTCGGCACCCCGGCAGAAGCCGCGGCCTGAGCCGCGCAGGAAACTGGGCCCGGATCCTCGGCAGGCCAGGCCCCACCCCACTCACCTGCCCAGGTAACCGGGGCCCTGGAGCGCGAGGCGGAGGCGGAGGCGGAGCGGGCTCGGAGCATGTTTGGCCGTTTGCTTGGCACCTGTACGTGCGTCCGGGTACGTGAGCTTCTCAGCAGTTTGTGTGTCCGTCCTTCGGGCGACCCGGTCACTAGAGTGTGTGTGGGAGGTCGGGCCCGCGTGCCCCTCTTCACTGCGGGGTGTTCCGTGTCCCCGCACCCCGACTTCCTGCCTGCCTGCCCGCCTCCCTCGAAGTCTCCCACCCAGGCTGATCAGGCGTGCCTCCTCTGTCCCCTCCCTTCTCTCAGGTCACAAGTACCCTCAGAACCCAGAGGCTCGCACTGTGAAGGTGACTCCCCTACCCCCAACCCCGGGGAAGAGGGCCACGGCCCCTGGGAGGACGATGGCCGGCGCTCGCCCTGCCCAGGCCGGCATCCCTGTGGTCCTTGAGCTGTTGCTTCTGTGCGTGCTGGGTCTCCAGATCACTGAGGCCGGGCTGCCTCCCCCACCCCCTGAGCTGCCGGCGGGAACTGCCTGCCTGAACCTCTTCACTCCGGGGGTTCCTGCCTTCGTGCTGGACACGGAAGCCTCGGTCAGCAACGGGGCCACCTTTCTGGGTTCCCCCACCGTGCGCCGGGGCTGGGATTGCGTGCGCTCCTGTTGCACCACCCAGAATTGCAACCTGGCGCTGGTGGAACTGCAGCCCGACGGCGGCGAGGACGCCATCACCGCCTGCTTCCTCATGAATTGCCTCTACGAGCACAACTTTGTGTGCAAGTTCGCGCGCAGAGAGGGCTTCATCAACTACCTCACAAGAGAGGTTTACCACTCGTACCACGAGCTTCGGACCCAGGGCTTTGGAGGTAAACAGGAGGAGGCAGAGATGGCGGGCATGGATGGATCTGGAGAGGCTCAAAAGGGAACTAACTATGGTCCCGAGGGAACCAAGCATCAGAAAGAAGTTAGGGAGGAAAATCCAATTCCACCCGACTCCTCCAGAAGGAACTATAACCAGTGAACAAAAGAAAGATGGTATGAGTGGGGATGGGGAACATTCCAGAGCCCAGGCTCTGGCTCTTGAATTCAGAATGTTCAGAGGTGATGATCTGGCACCCAAGGGAAGCCTGGCCTTAGGCTGTGTGTATGGGAGAGAAGAGACAACTCTCCAGGCTTCACAACCTCTGACCCTCATAGGCTGAGTCAGATTATTAGGTGTCTGGATGCAGCCTGGTGACTAGAAAGGTACCCTGGCCAACCAATGTCCTAGGCACCTTGATTCCTTGGCAAGTGAGCCTGGCTAGTCTCCTCCACTGGCTGGATGTCTAGCTGATTGACATCTCTGTACACCTGAGAACAGATTGGCCTTTTGTTGATCTGGAGGGGAAAGGCAGACCCCAAGAGACTAAGGAAGAAGCCCTGTCTGGGGTTGACTCCAAGAGAGGTGGTGTTGGGGGCACAATAGCCCAGAGGCTCTGGAGTGGGGGATGAGGAAGGTTGCTGGGTGAGTCAGCCCAATGGTATGTATATCTGGTAGGGGAAGGATGTCACCTGTTCATGCAGGTGTGTGTGTGTGTGTGTGTGTGTGTGTGTGTGTATGTGTGCATGCACTCACCCATGTGAACCAAGCAGGGCTCTCCTTGCTTAGGAAATGGTAGCAGAGCTGTCTGCTCACCTTGTTTACTTCCAAGGATAGGGGCAAAATGGGGGTCAAAACTCCTCCTTCTTCCTCCAACTGAGCAGTAGGGAGTGAGATCAAGACTGGTCAAGAACCTTTCCTCCTCATTTTCTTCACCTGCTCTCTGGCCAGGTAGGGCTCCAGGACAAAAGTGGGTCATAAACAGATAACCATTACTGAATTCTGTGCCATTCATCCTACAGGCCTCATTCTGAAAAGGATGCTGTTGTTAGTCAACTGCTTTTTAGATTAGAAAACTGAGCCCCCACCCCACCATAATGTCCATGAATTGTAAACTTAGGACTCACGCAGGGAGACCTTCAAAAGTCCTGGGCTCTTTTTTCACATGAGACCACCGTTCCAGTAGAAACCTAGCATTCTGACCCAAGATAGCCAACAGATAACAAAAGCAAAGACTGGGGAGTCCAGTGGCCAGGACTGGCTGGGGCTGAGTCAGAGGTGAGCTTAGTGTGAAAAGTAGACAAGGGACTTTCCTCTCCAGCCTTTTCTAGGGCTAGTACCTCTTCCAGGTCTCCCAGTAGCTCTTTTGTGTCTCTGAGGAGAAGTGAGATGGGAATTCTGTGAAATGGGGGTCAATATCTATGGTCTAAGCTGAACTCTGAGGTCCCACTGGGCCAGAACTAGAGCCTGTTCCACAAGGAAGCAATAGATAGTGTAGGTGGCAGTGACTCTAATTGACTGTCAGTGCCCTTCCTGCTCTGACATAGGCCCTATAGGAGGCCCATCAAGGGTCAGAGCCAGATACTCTGAAGTCTGGTCAGGAAGGTGAACTGGATAAGGGTCACCTGGTCTTGGGCTCAGCCCTTCTCATCTGGAAACCCCCAAGGACTGGCCTACTTGGCACAAGGTAGGCTAGAGTGGGGATTTCCTGGGGCATGTAAAAAGTTGGGTAGGACTTGGACTACAAGTGAGTCCCAGGACATTGTAGACTATTTTCAGGGTTCTKCCTTGGAAAGTGGGGGAAGCTGTGTATGTCAAGGGCTCCACTGTTGGCTAAGTCTGGCTGGTAAATTGGAGGCTAGAGCAGACAGAAGCAGCCAAAATAGACTGGGTAGTCAGGGCTTCTGAACTTTTTTTTTTCTTTTCCGGTACTGGGAATTGAACCCAAGACTCTCACACACACCAGGCAAGTACTCTACCACTGAGTCATATCCCCAGTCCTAAATCTTTGATTCTTATACTTGGTAGAGAAATCCTGTTGAAAAGGGTTGATTTGTTTTCTCTTCCCTGCCTGTGGCCAGGCCAGTCCAGTCCAGATTCCTACAGCTGGAGGCCAGGGAGTTTGTCCCTCCTCTCCCCTGCTCCTGCCCTCCCCCATCTTTCCTATGGCAGAGTGGTTTAGGAGGTGGAGTCTGTGTTTCCCTGGAGATGTCCTGGGGCTTGGCAGCTGGGGGAGGGCTAGTTTTATTGCCAGTCTAGCCTTTGGTCTCTTGGGGATGGGAATAAGGGAGTGGTAGGGCAGGGCATCGGCCCTTGGTCCTGGGACCTGGGGCTTAGCAAGTTGTGGGTAGGAATTCTATTCAAGGTCTATTCTATTCTATTCAAGGTCTGGCATCTCTCTCCTTGCCACTTTGACCTAGGGGGCTGGACTTGAGGCCTATAATCTCTTGTCTGCTAGGTAGGCTTCTAAGTAGTCTATTTTCTTTCATTTTCTATAAAATGCAAGGCTGTGGCTCCTCAAGTTCACTGCCCTCTTATTTCATCTCTCAGGCTCTTTTCCTGATCACCACTGAGCCAGGGTTACTTCCAGACACTTTTCTACTCTCTTTTTTCTAAATTCCTTAAATCCAGTATGTTTTCTTAGTTTTGTAGGTATCCATATGTTTGACATGTTTCCCTGTGAAACCTCTTCCCTTCCATCCCTCTGCTGTCTCCATGTGTCCTGGGTCTCTTCTCTGTGACCAATTCTGTGAGCTTCCCCATTGGCTCTGCTTTCTCTGCCTCATTAAGGAAGAATCCTGTGACTTGGCCTTCTACCAGCTGCCCTCATCTCCTAAACTTTTTTTTTTAATTTTTTTTAAACTGGGGATTGGGCCCCAAGGGCACTTTACCAATGAGCTAGATCCCCACTCCAAAAAAAAAAAAAAAAAAAAAAAAAAAAAAAGTTTATTGCTAAGTTGCTAAGGTAGGCCACAAACTTGTGATCCTCCTGGAATTACAGGTGTGTTCCACCACACCTGACTTTACCTTTTCTCCTTTTCTTCTTGCTTTGCACTCACTCACTCTTTTTTTTTGTTGTTGTTGTTAAATTTTCTTTTCTTTCAATATTTTTTTAGTTATCAATGGACCTTTATTTTATTTATTTATATGCGGTGCTGAGAATCAAACCCAGGGCCTCACACATGCTAGGCAAGCGCTCTCTGAGCCACAACCCCAGCTCATGTACACACTCACTCTTTTTTAAAAAATATTTATTTATTTATGTATCTTTAGTTTTAGGTGGATACATTAGTTTGTTTTTTATGTGGTGCCGAGGATTGAACCCAGTGCCTCATGCATGCTAGGCGAGCACTCTACCACTAAGCCACTACCCCAGCCCCCACACTCACTCTTATACCTGAAGTGACCCTCTTTAGAGCCTCCATGGAGGGCAGTATCAGAACTGTAGATGCTTGTCATCATTGACACAATTGTACTTGTAGGAATTCATTTTGCTGCTCGATTTACACATGTATACAACAGCTTGACAGTTATTTATTGTAGTATTGTTTATAATAATGAAGAATTGGAAACAATTTCAGTGTCTGTCAACACATCCTCTAATTGAATCCTGTGATGCTGTTGGAATAATAATAAACCCCAAGGCAGCATGGTTTAGGAAAGAAGGAAAGAAAGCTGTGAATTAAAATACTATATTCATTACACACAAACTGGTAGATGCCTTTGGTGTAAGGAATTTGGGGTGTTAAGGAAAAGAGGCTAATTAATTTTCACCTCCCTTTTTTATTTAATATACATGTATTATTTAGACTACAAAACAAAAACTCAGGATTTTAAAACAACAAAAATCACACCTTTAAGCAGATGATGACCTATAGCGTGACATTTTGGAGAAGACATGAGCTCTGGAGTTAGTTCAAATCCCAGCTTTGCCATTTAAAAACTGAGCCAGAAGTGCTGGGGATGTGGCTCATTGATAGAGTACTTGCCTAGCATACACAAGACCCCTGGTTTCACTTAAAAAAACAAACAAACTGAGCCATGACCCTGGGCAAGTTATTAACCTCTCAGGTTGGAGTCAACAAGTTCTTCCTTTTTTTTAAAAAAAAAAAAAAAAAAAGAGATTCCTTTATTTTTTAAAAAATGGGCCTTTACTTTGTTCATTTATTTATATGTGGTGCTGAGAATTGAACCCAGTGCCTCACACATGCCAGGCAAGTGCTCTACCACTGAGCCACAACCCCAGCTCCTCCATTTTTTTTTCCAATATTGAATTCATTTTATTTGGAATAATGAGATTATTCTAGGTAAATGAAAGAACATTTTATGATAGTAAACAAACTTTTCTTCTTTAAAGGTCTAAATAGTAAATATTTTAAGCTTTGTGTGAAATAAGGTCTCTGTTGTAACCACTTTGCTGTTGTCATGTGGAAGCAGCCTTAGACAATATGTAAGGACAGGGGCAAAGTTGTGCTCCAACTTACAGGCACACTTTTTTTTTTCCCCCAGTGCTAGGAATCTAACCCAGGGTTGCATGCATCCTCAGCAAGCAGTCTGCTACTAAGCTACATCTCAGTAGCCCCACAAATTTTAATGTTGTATACTTTTTTTCTTTATCCATTTCAAAATATAACAGATGGTGGGATGAATTTTGGCACACAGGCCACAGGTCAGTGTGCTGACCCCTGATGTAGGTAATGTAGATAGGTACTCAGTGTGATGGCAGTCACATTCTCAATGTACCCAGCAAGGCATCAGCTTTGTTGGTAAATACACCTCCTTTCTGTCTCCAGCCCTGGCCTCTGGAAAGCCCACACATATCTGCCACTGCCTGCTGTTTCTGGTGGATCTTTCTTGCCTCAAGTTCAGCTTCTCTGTGAGTGAACACACAGGTTCCCTCTACATCTAGTTTCCCTTCCATGTGTGCCCTGGCTCTTCCTCCTGAGTTCCCAGAGCCTTTCGTGAGAAGCCTGAAGTGTCTGCCCACCAGTTTCTTACATCCTTCTTTCCATTTTCTTGACTGCTTTGTGATTCGGACCCTTTCTGTTGAACTTGCCCTGACCACTGCCCTGGTCCACCTGTCACCCTCCTTGCTGCACAGAACCTTTCCAAACATATGTGTGAACAAGGACTGCCCAGAGCAGGAGCTCTCTGCTGAGTCCTAGCCCCTCCCTTAGGACTCCTGGGCCTCCATGGGGAATCTCAGAGGTCAGCGTCTGGTAATGCAAAAGCCTCCAGGACTTTGCCCCACTGCTCACAGCCAACATCTGTCCCCTTCCTGTATCACCAGTTGTTTAATATTTGAATATTACTTCTGTTGTGAACAAACACTCTTGCCTGGCATTCTGCAGCTCTTTGAGGTTTGTGCCAGCCTGGCTGATTTCCTTATTGCCCATTGAACCAGCCTTGCAAATTCCTAGCTCCTCACTCTTGTTTTCTATTGTCATCAGCAACAAAAAAGATTTAAAAATTCTTCTTCCCTTCTCCAGAATGCCTTCCTTCCTCTGGCCTATCTCCCTTCTCACAGTGTCCTCTGCCTTGTCTTGTACATATACTGCTTCATGTTGTTGGTTTTTATCTGCCCAACTAGACTGAAATTCCTGCCAGACACTTTGTTCATTTCCTAGGGCTGTTGTAACAAATCACTATAAACTGTTTGGCTTAAAACAACAGAAATTTTGGGCTGGAGTTGTGGCTCAGCAGTAAAGCGCTTGCCTAGCATGTGCAAGGCCCTGGGTTCAATCCTCAGCACCACATAAAAATAAATAAAGATATTGTGTCCAACTATAACTAAAAAATAAATATTAAAAAAAAAACAACCCAGAAATTTAGGAGTGTGGATGTAGCTCAGTGGTAAAGCCCTTACCTAGCATGCATGAAGGCATGAGGTTCTGGGTTCAATCCCCAATACCACATAAAAAATATACAACAACAATAAAATGATTTTAAAAAAACAAATTTATTCTCTCACAGTTATAGAGGTCAAAAGTCTAAAATCAAGATGTCATCAGAGACACACTGTCTCTGAAGACTTCAGCAGAGAATCCTTCCTCACCTCTTCCAGCTTGTGGTGGCTCCGTGTGTCTTTTGGCTTGTGACTGCCTCACTCCAGTCTCTGCTTGTCTTGACATGGTCTCTTCTTTCATTTTGTCTTCTCTTCTGTTTCTTAAAGGACACTTGTGGAGGGAAGAGGCTGGGCTTGTGGCTCAGCAGTAGAGAGCTTGCCTAGCACGTGTGAGACCCTGGGTTCGATCCTCAGCACCACATAAAAATAAATAAATAAAATAAAGATATATACTTTAAAAAAGACACTTGTCATTAGATTTGGGGCCTAGCCAACTAATCCAGGATGACCTCATCTGGAAATCTGTAACATACATACTTCTGCAAATGTCCTTTTCCCAAATAAGGTCACATTTGTAGGTTTCAGGGGTTTGCGGTGGACATATCTTTTGGGAGCCACCATTTAATGAGTGGGACTCATGCTTTGTATTTTTCTCTGTCCCCTGGATTTTGATCCTGGATAGAGGAAGCCATAGGCACAGACTGTCATTAAGAGTCTGGGACCACTTGTAGAATCTGTCGGAGCTGACACAGACCTCATTCCCATAGCCACTCACCCTGGGGTTCCAGGGCCTGCTACCTTATTTCCCAGGAACTCTGCTTTAGACCTCTGTCCAGACAGGCTTTTGCATGGTCTAGACTGGCAGAGTAAACATGATAAATTTTAATTACACATTTCCTTTTTTGACTTTAAAAGAAAGTGTTACTTTAACCTTAAAGTGTTACTTTAAAGCAATTAGCACAAGCACCTGCTTATTATAAGGAACAAGCTCATTCCTCCAAGTACATACACACTTCCCAAATGAGGTTAGACAGCACAGGCTGTTCAGTAAGAAGGAGAAAGTGGGTTTTACCACATAAAGAATGTCCCTGAATAGAGAACAAGACACTGGTTTTGTTAGCTTTTACCATGTCCCACACAAGCTGCCAAGTTCCAAGTTGATCCAGATATGTCCCATAGTGCCTCCGCCCTACTTCCTCCCCAGTAGATACCTGGTCCATTCAGTGAGAGTTGATCTTACTTCACCTTCCTCCAGGGTCCCGGATCCCAAGGGCCTGGGTGGGCATAGACTTGAAGGTGCAGCCCCAGGAACCCCTGGTGCTAAAGGATGTGGAAAACATAGATTGGCATCTACTGCAGGGTGGCACAGACGTAAGGATAGAGGTGAGATACTGGACCGACTTCCTGACCTCCTCCCCCATCAGCCTCCTAGGGGCCCCTTCCTAGGGTAACAGGCTAACCAGTGGTTCCTGGTGGTGTGGGGTGGAGAGAAGGTGAGGATGAATTTAGCACCAAGTCCCTAGGAAGTGGGCATGTGGCTGGGAGTTCCTGGGGCAGCCCAAGGGTATTAAGGGGTGTCCAAGCCTGATGACCAGTCCTATGTGTAGAGGAACAATCCGGACCAGGTGGAGCTGTGGGGACTCAAGGAAGGCACCTACCTGTTCCAGTTGACAGTGACTGGCTCAGAACAACCAGAGAATAAGGCCAACGTCACAGTCACTGTGCTATCTGCCAAGCAGACAGAAGGTGAGGGAAGGGTGGGCAGGTGGCACCTGGAGCCTTCTGCCCTCTGCTAATGGGTCCCATAGCCTCCCCCTCACAAGCTCTCCTCCCTCTAGATTATTGCCTTGCATCTAACAAGGTGGGCCGCTGCCGGGGTTCCTTCCCCCGCTGGTACTATGACCCCACAGAACAAATCTGCAAGAGATTCACTTATGGAGGTTGCTTAGGCAACAAGAACAACTACCTTCGGGAAGAAGAGTGTATGCTAGCCTGCCGGGATGTGCAAGGTGGGCCTTTGAGAGGCAGCTTTGGGGCTTAACTGACTTTTCACCCAGGGTGGGTGGTCTTTCTTCACCAGTCAGGGAGTGGGCTGTGGGAGTTTCCTGTTCCCCACCTGCAATCATCTCATATCTGCTGGGACCTGACCATGCCTCTCTGACTTCTCCATTTTCCCCCAGGCCCCTCAATGGAAAGGCACCATCCAGGTAGGTGTTGTTACTTTCCCTGTCTCCCTCACCCTGCCAGGTCTTCCTCCATACCCGTGACCAATCCAACTTTGCCCAACACATTCCTCCTCTTGTAATATGGAAGGACCATAGAACACCCCACCCCTTCCAACCCAACATCTTCCTGTCAGAATCTGCCCAGGTTACATGTATGAGGAGTCAGGTTGGTGGAGAGAGAATAGGCACACATCAGGATATCATGTTGGAGAAGGCCAGGCAGACCATGGACCCTTGGCACCTGTTGTTTGCCTGAGCCTGACCTCACCTCTACCCCGTTCTTCCCTGACCCAGTATGTTCTGGCAGCTGCCACTCCACCCAATTTCGATGCAGTAATGGCTGCTGCATCGACAGCTTCCTGGAGTGTGATGACACCCCGGACTGCCCTGACGGCTCTGATGAGGCCACCTGTGAAAAATGTGAGGCCTGGGGAATGGAAAAGGGGTGGGCAGCAGGCAGGGAGGTCCCAGCAGCTCTGCCCTGTGTCCCTGGGAGACCTTGTTGAGCCTCTGACTTTTCATCTCTGCAGACACCAGTGGCTTTGATGAGCTCCAGAGTATCCATTTCCTCAGTGACAAAGGTGAGATCCTCCCCAGAACCTCTGGGTCAGGTCAAACACTGGCACTGCCATCCTCATTCCACCTGGCAGTGCCCGAGGAACCTATTGTATGTGCCAGACTAAGGCCCAAAGCCCTGGAGGGCAGAGGGTTTCTCCTGGGGAGCAGCCTGTTCTCTGGCTGGCTCCTGGGTCCCCTTCTGTGACTATGCTTCCCACACTTCAATGATCACCCATTATCTGAATAGCTTTGTAATGTTAGCCATGCCCAATGCAGATCACTTAATCAGTTTCTTTTTTTTTTTTAACTCAGTGTATTAAAAAGGAATTTCACATAAATGGAAAGCAACTATAATTTGCTACAAGTTGAAAATTATGATAAATATAATAAACAATGTTAGTGAATGTTAGCTGGACATCATTGCTTGCCAAGGCTCAGACTCTGAGAACCATCTTTTTTTAAAATATATATATATTTTGGTTGTAGTTGTGCACAATATGAACATACTGGGTCAGTTGTAGTTGGACACAATACCTTTATTTTATTTCTTTATTTATATGTGGTGCTGAGGATCGAACCCAGCACTGCACACATGCTAGGCGAACATTCTACCTCTGAGCCACAACCGCAGCCCTGAGAACCATCCTCTTTGAGAGCCATTTTCTTTGTTAAAAATGCAAACTACAGTGGCAGGAAATTGAAAAATAACTGTGTAAGTCCATGTAGTTTCCCATTATGCCAAAGCTTATTTTCAGGCTTTGCCTTCCTTGTCTCTGGCAAAACTGCAGAAGATCCAGATGTTTCTGGGGCTCCCAGATCCTCACTGAACCACAGTTGCTCTCCCCATGGGGCAAGCAGGAGGTGGTGGACAGAAGCCACGTGGGGCCTGCAGGGTGGTGGCAGGGTTCTCTGTGTGCTCACTGCTTTGCCTGCTCCCCACCCCCTAGGGCACTGTGTGGACCTGCCAGACACAGGACTCTGCCAGGAGAGCATCCCACGCTGGTACTACAACCCTTTCAGTGAACGCTGTGCCCGCTTCACTTATGGTGGTTGTTATGGCAACAAGAACAACTTTGAGGAAGAGCAGCAGTGTCTCGAGTCCTGTCACGGCATCTCCAGTGAGGGGGCTGGTGGGGATGTATTGGGTGGGGTGAAGAAGAAGAGACTTAGCTCTGTCCCAAGGCCTAAGTGGGTCACCCCTCCATCAAGCCATGGGAGAGAATGGCAAAGAGGGGCTGGGGCACTGGGAGCAGCTGAGTCTCAGGGCCCTTAATACTAACTGGTCTCTCTCCCCCATCATGTTGCAGAGAAAGATGTGTTTGGTCTGCGACGGGAAAGCTCCATCTCCAGTGTAGGTAAGCCCTGATCTGTCCTGATGCCAAGGTGGATGCATACATATCAACTCAAGGGATCAACTCCACATGATTGGTTGTGGACTCTTAAACCATGTTGAAAAGGATCCTAAGGTTACCTATAGAGACAGACTACTTCGATCAAATAGTGAGGCCCGTCATGGGCAAGGGAGGGAAATTCAGAGTGTGGAAATTCGGAGATGTCTGTAATCAGAGTCCCAGGTCTTTTTCCCAAGCTATCTGTAAGTAGAGTAACTTAGAGCCAAGACCTAAGACCCATTGGAACCCATCTGAGCTGCCAGATGCTGCCTTCAGCTTATATGCTGGAGGTGTGAGTTGGGTACCCATGTGCTTCCATACCTGGCATCTATTTAACTTGACTCCCTTGGTAGAATGGGGTAAGTGTCATAGCCAGGCATGGCTTGGGAGCCTCTTTTTCTGCTCCTTCTTCCCCAGGCTCTGTGGAAGTGGCTGTTGCTGTACTCCTGGTCATCTGCATCATCATGGTGATAGCCATCCTGGGTTATTGGTGCTTCAAGAACCAGAGACAGGACTTGCGCAGACATCACCACCTGAATCACCCACCACCCACCCCTGCTAGCTCCACTGTCTCCACCACTGAAGACACAGAGCACCTGGTCTATAATCATACCACCCGACCCCTCTGAGCCTGGGGCTCTTGCCATCTCTCACCAGGCCCTGCTTCCTGCTTACCAAGACAGAGGCCTGGACTGGGGAAAACTTTGGGATCAGACTCCTGCCTGTTTTCCAGGCACATTCTGCCTCAGAAGCCAGGGCTTTAGCTGTCTTGGAAGCCTCTGGGCTCAGGCTAGTTGTTTCTGAGAAAACACAAGGGTCTGAGAGAAGCAAAAAAATCCTTGAACCAGGAGTATTGTGCATAGAAGGACCTGCCCTGCCTAGGGGTTCAGAGGAAGTTGGAGTTTTAGGTCCTGGTTGAAGCTGCCTGCCCCCACCCCATGGTGCCTGGGATGGTGTCAGAAGCTGGAGGCCCCAGTGTCTTCCACAGCTGCCCTTCCACTACACGGTCCAGAGCTGGAAGGAAGGACTTCTCTATGTAGTTAGTGTTGTAAAGTATTGCTTTTGGGGGCTGGAGGCATAGATCAGTGCTAGAGTGTGTGCTAAATGCTTAGCATGCACAAAGCCCTGGATTCTATCCCCAGTGTTGGGGAGGGGAAATTTAAAAAAAGCTTTTTGTTTATTTAATGCCCTAGGGGTAGGGGTGAAGACAAATGGAAGGTATGTCTTCCTTTGCCTTCTTTCTTCCTTTTCCCTTGAGGTTGAGCCCTGCCCTTGACCAGCCCCTGAATCCCCAGTCCCTAATCCCAGGGCTCTCTGACATCACACCACCAACCCCTCCTCAATTTCCCACAAATCCAATTCACTCACAGTGTGATAAAATGGTTTGTGAGGCTGGGGTGTAGCTCAGTGGTGGAGTGCTTGCCTAGCATGCATGAGGCCCTGGATTCAATCCCCAGCACCTCAAAAAATAAAATTTTTAAATAAAATCATTTGTTTTGCACAGTTTCTGCCTCTGTTCTGCGGGCAAGAGAGGGATAAGATTGCTAGGGGTAGATGTGACCGCCCAGTCCAGCTGGTTCAGACTTTGGCCATCCTGTTTAGCAGGTTGTCCCACCTCTCCCGAAACTGCTCTGGCCCCAGGGTGGAGAGAAGTGCCAAATTTGACCACCAGAGGGGAGGGGTGAGGGCCATGCGAGTAGGGGGCACCTGGAGGCCAAGGCCCTGCTGTGTAGTATGATTTCTGGTGGAGCTTCTCACTGGGCCTGCTCCGTAGCTGGGGTGAGTCTTAACCCCCTGTGTACTGGGGGATTTGGAGAGGGGTTGCACAGGCTTCAACCCTGATCCTTCCATCCACCTGATCAGACTTAGGTCTGCCTCCCTGTCCATCCACAGAAACAAATGCAGCCCTTCCCAAGTTCTGTGCTGCCCAGGAGCCATTAATTGAGTTACCCCATGCCAATCCACTTCTCTGTTGCTCAAACTATCTCCTGGTAGGGGAGGGAAAAAAAGTCACACTTTCAATTAACTCATTTATTTAATAAATCACATTGAGCTCCTATATGCCAGGCACTGACAATCATTAGAAATTTGACATTGTTGAGAGAAGCAGGCGGGAAGTGCTACTGAAGTGCTTTACATTTCATATGCAATTCAGCACAACCTTGTGGTGAAGGTGCTATTACCCCCATTTTACAGGCAAAGAAACTGACAGTGAAGGTTAATTCTGAGGTCCTGGAGTTGGTGTGGGAGGACTAGATCCAAACCCAAAAAAATATTCCCTAGAGTATAGTCTTCCAGGAGAGGTTGGGGGCTATTGGTAAGCAACTGAAGTGCCATGACATGAATCTACATATGTGAAGTCCTGGGTGTTCAACTCTGAATTTCCACCACTGTGCACATCTCTAAAGAAGCAGCCAAACCAGGAAGCAGAACCTTCCTGCACACCAGATGAGCCACCTTTCGATGGTAATGCCTCTTGATTGTACCTGTTCTATTCAGTGAGACCACAGGTACCACCTTCCCTTTATCATCCCAGCCTAAGATCAAAACTTCCCACTGCTACACTGGTCCTGCTGGCTGGTACTCTTTGCTCCACACTCCTGGATCTGCCAACAGGACCCTGAGCACAGGGCACCTCTTCTTTTGTTTACCTATCTGTCTTCCTGCTGGTTGTAAGCTCCTGTAGTCACAGATGGCATCTTAGTCATCTCTGGATCTCCAGCACCTCATGTACCCTCTGTGACCTCAGTTAATGGTAGTTATTCAGTGAATGTTGAGTAGATGGCAGGGGTGGGGCTCATTCTCTTTGTTCATTTTCATGGGTGCTGTATTTCCTCTCCTAACCCCATACTTTTCCAGGCCGCTGTCCAGACTCAATCTCTCCTCTGGGCCCCCATTATTGTTGGTTCTCTATAAGCAGGGTGATTAATGACTCAAACAATGTCTAGAATACCCAATGATCAACCCAGAGTAAGAACTTAATAAGTGTTTGTTGGCCTGAAGTGAACATACTCTCAGGGAGGGGTAGAGATCAAGTGGAATGATGCTACACAAAGTGCTATCCCTAGTAACAGCTGCTGGGATAATGGTTGCCTGGATCTGACTGCTCTGGCTGGAGGAGGTGGGAGCTTTGCAGAGGTCACTAGGGGGCGCTCTTGGCATTACTGGCCAGTGTGATTTCTTCCTACAAGAGTTTAAGGGAAGGTCAGTCTCAGGCAGGTGGCAGGTGTGAAGCAATGGAGGCCAAGCCACAGCCTTGCTCCCCTGGAGCTTACACTCTGGAATGCAGGCAGCACAGATGCAAAGGCTGTGATAATTTGGTTCCCAAACCACTCCTTATCACTTCCTCTGCTTCATCCTCACTCAAATGACATTGCTCATGTTTTTGCACAAGCAGTTCCTTCTATCTCAAATGCCCCTTTGCCCCTGGGAAGTTCCTACTCTATATATGACCCAGCTCAGAAACCTTTCCCTGATTCTCCAGTGAAAGTCCGTTGCTGTCCTCTCCACTTGCTCAAGCTGCATACAAATGAACCATGTAGGCTGGGCACAGTGGCACACACCTGTAAGTCCAGTGACTGGGGAGGCTGAGACAGTAGGATCATGAGTTCAAAGCCAGCCTCAGCAATAGTGAGGTTCTGGGCAACTCAGTGAGACCCTGTCTCTAATAAAATACAAAATTGGGCTGGGGATGTGGCTCGGTAGTTAAGTGCCCCTGAGTTCAATCCCCAGTACAGAAAAAAAAAAAAAAAAAAAAAAAAAAAGATGAGCCATGTTAGTGTGTCTGCTTTCATTTGGGTGAGACTCCTCAAAACCTGGACTAGGTCTTCTTTACCTCAGTATTCCCAATTCAGACCCTGCTGGTGGATACTAAGTGTCCAATAAATAGATGTTGAAAAGAAACAGAGGCTAGTAAAGCCATGGAGATTAAGAAGGTTGAGAAATGGCTTCATGGAGGGAGTATCAAATAGATGAGCAAAGGTCTTGAAGAGATTTATACACCCATGTTCATAACAGCATTACTCACAATAGTTAAAATATGGAAGCAACACAAGTGTCTATAGTCATGAACGGACAAGCAAAATAGAATACATATAATATATACAATGGAATATTATTTAGCCTAAAAAAAGAAGGGAGTTCTGATATATGCTACAACACAGATGAACCTTGAGAATATTATGATAAATGAAATAAACTAGCCACAAAAAGATAAATACTGTATGGTTCCACTCATATTTAGGCATATTTTGACTTAGACAAGTTGAAATCATAGAGACAGAAAGTAGAATGGTGGTTTCAGGGGCAGGGGGAGGAGTGGGAAGTGATTGTTTCATGGATAGATTTCACTGTTGCAATATAAAAAGTTCTCTGGAGATGGATGGTGGTGATATACTTAATGCTACCTACCTAGACACTTAAAATAGTTAATATAGTAAATTTTATGTTATTATATTTTACTACAATAAAAATAACTTGAAAAAAATGAGATAATAAGGTGCATATGGGTGTGAGTTTGGTAATCTAAGCACAGCAAAACCATAGCAATCAAATAAATGGACAGTGGGAGATACATCTCAGTGGCAGAGTGCTTGCTTAGCATGCATAAGACTCTGGGTTCAAATTCCCAGTACTGAAAAAAAAAAGTCACAGTTATTTTGGGGTGTTTGCGTGTGGTAACAGGAAGATTGAATCCAGGGCCTCATGCACCCTAGGCAAGACTTCTACTATTGAGCCACATTCCCAGCGCTATGGGTCTTGTTTTGTTTGGAAGTGGCAAGTTTCCCAGTGTGTCCCAAAGCCATCAGAAGGAAAGTGAGGAGGTTGGTGGGTAGAGGCCACACTGATGGGCTCTTAGGTATTGAGCAGGCACTTGAGTATTAAAGCCAGACTTTAAGAACTAGAGAGTGGGGGCTGGGGATGTGGCTCAATTGCTATGGTTTTGCTGGCCTGGCATGCGTGCAGCCCGGGTTCGATCCTCAGCACCACATACCAACAAAGATGTTGTGTCCGCCGAGAACTAAAAAATAAATATTAAAATTCTCTCTCTCTCGACTCTTTAAAAAAAAAAAAAAAAAAAAAAACTAGAGAGTAGAGAGCTAAAAAACTGGAGAGTGAGGCCCTGGGTTTGATCCTCAGCACTGCAAAGATAAATAAATAAATAAATAAATAAATAAATAAATAAATAAATAAATAAATAAAATAAAAGTGTTGTGACAATCTCCAACAACAACAACAAAAAAGGATGGAAAAAGGAAAAAACAAGTAGGTAGCGAGCCACATTACCAGAGTTTACACCACAGGACACAGGAGAGTGACAGAGGGAGGAGGCAAGACTAAATCAATTAACCAAGATAACTTGAATGAGGGACACAGAAACTACACAGTACAGGCTAGTCAAAGCCTTTGTACACTGGGTGCCTGCCATGCTCTGACAACACAGTGGTTTAATTTAAAGAGTCAGGAGACTTCATTGTTTAATAAATTTAGAATTTAGAGGCAGGACATGGTGGCGCACACCTGTAATCTCAGTGGCTCAGCAGACTGAGGCAGGAGGATCGAAAATTCAAAACCAGCATCAGCAATTTATCAAGGTCCTAAAGACTTAGCAAGACCCTGTCTCAAAAAATAATCAGGAGCTGGGCGTGGTGGTACACTCCTGTAATTCCAGTGGCTAGGGAGGCTGAGGCAAGAGGATTGAGAGTTCAAAGCCAGCCTCAGCAAAGGCCAGGAGTTAAGCAACTCAGTGAGACCCTGTCTCTAAATAAAATACAAAATAGGGCTGGGGATGCGGCTCAGTGGTTAAGCACCCCTGACTTCAATTCCTGATAATAAATTAAAAAAAACATAAAATTTTAAACATTTAGAGCCAGGTACAGTGTTACTTGCCTATAATCCTAGGTACTCAGGGGGCTGAGGCAAGAGGATCACAAGTTTAAG